TGCAGTGCCTCTCTAGGAAAATTCTCTCTATGGCCGGAAGGGGCGGGACCAAGGGCAAGAGTGATGCCCAGGCAGAGTTGCCTCCAGTTTCCTAGAAGGAGCCACTTGATGAAGCATAGAGACAGAGAGAGACCCATCCATCTGAGGAAGGAGGCTCCAGTCCAGGAAAGGTTATGTTGACAGCTTCTTTCTTTCTGTTAATCTCAAAGGTGCTGCAAGATCCCTTTGTGTCTTGATTTTTCCAGACTAACACAGCTATGTCTTTGAATTCTTCCTTCTAGATAAGAGATCCAGCCTGGTATGGAGGTTTGAGTGCTGGACTACAGCTCCGGAGACCAGGGTTCGAATCCCTGCTTGCCCATAGAAGTCTACTGAGAGACCTTGGGCAAGCCACACTCTCTCAGCTTCAAAAGATGGAGGCAAAGGCAAATCCCCTCTGGACAAACCTTACCAGGACAACCCTGTGATAGGATCACTGTAAGTTGAAGGCACTACTTGAAGGCACACAACAACAGAAGGTGGATGCAGAGCAGAGGGTGAGTCCTGGCACCACAATGGCCTGACAAGGAGGAAGTCACTGTATATATTCATATATAAATCTAGAAATTTTAGTCAGAAAAATTGACCTCATAAAACTGGGTCGACTTATCTGTGGGTCAATGTAAGTACTATACTGTGAGTCTTCCTCTTCTCTGAGTAAAGTGGTGAAAGGTAAGAGCAGGGGTAGGCAACCTTTCCCCTTTAAGGGCCGAGGGACTTCAACTCCCAGAATCCCAGGAGCTATTGGCCAACATGGGACTATTGGCCAACAGGGCTGAGGCTTCTGGGAACTGAAGTCCCTTGGCCTTTAAAGGGGAAAGGTTGCCTACCCCTGGGTAAGAGGTTAGTTCCATGCTGGTGAACCTGTGGCATGCGTGCCAGAGATGGCACACGAAGCCATTTTCCCTGGCACACAGAGCAGGGAAGATGAGAAAAAAGTGTGCACTCCTGTTCTTCCTCCTCCCAGCCATCCCAGGCCCAGAGAGGCAGTTGAAAGCCCAGGAAGGTGCAGGGGCAAAGAGAAACAGGTACGTCTTCAGCTGCCTTTTTAGAGGAAGCCTGGGAAGGTTCGGGGAGGGAGGAAGTCCCCCAGGAAGTCCCACCCCAATGGGGCAGAAGTCCCATCCTGGAAATCCCACCCCCATGGGGCAGAAGTCCCATCCTGGAAGTTCCATTCCCTCCGAAAGTCCTGCCTCTGGCACAGGGTAACATTCAGTGCGGGAAGGCCGTTTAGTTTGTGCACTCGGTGCCTAAAAGATTCACCATCACTAGTTTAGTTCATCCTGGGAGCACTCAAAAGAAGCACCAAACACCTCTGTTTGTTCCACCATAATGTCTTTTTGTTTGCTTGGGTGGGAAAATGGCAGTGATGGCACCTCTTTGGTGCTTCTCCTCAAAGGAGTGTCAAGAGGAATTGGGCTTAGAAGGATCTGAATAAGACATTTCTGTATGAAGACAGTAAAGTTCGTCCTTTACAATCACATGCCCTTAGGTTTTATCCTCAACCTACCTGTGAGTCATATCAAAATCCGTAATTTTGCCCCCAAAACTTGCCCTCGACTTATACATAAGTCCGACTTATAGTTGAGCATATATGGTAAAAACATAGGAAA